CATAGGCAGTGACCGCACTCACCCCTAACGTGGACCAGCACTCACACAAATGCATGCCTGGCATCCCCAGATGGGTGCTGTGTAAAGAAATGCATATGGATGGAGCTCAGAGTCCACACTGGCCCCAAAGCAAAGCTAGTGGTCGCTATGTTTCTTTTTGAATACTCCATTCTTCTTCAGTTGGACAGACTATCTAATGGGCTGCCAAAAGGCTTTGGGTAGATTCATAGGGTCCTCTTCCATGCTAATGAACAGACTTCCTCCCTGCTTCTGAAAGTTGAGGCAAGGTGAAAAGATGACAATCACCAGACAGTCCTCGGTAACAGAGAGAAATGACAACCTTGGGCTTATGACCTGGGAGTTTGTGGCCATGTCTGAGTTTCTGTTCTGTCCTTGGAGACCTAAGGCCCAAATTAAAATATAGCAGAGCAGCTGGCTCTCATTTCTTGAAGTGAGCGGATTGCCTACCTTTGGGGACCAACCGAAATGATGTCAAGAAGACAAAAGAAGCTAAATGTTCCTGGGTCCCTAGTTAAATCCAGGGTTCTCCTTTCTTCAATAGCGTGAACGCTTGTTGCTCACAACCTAGAGGTCGTCTATTAAAGTTAAAAGTCATTTACTTTAACAACCCCCCCCCCTTGCTTTATAGACAAGGACATATCAGCCCAAGAAGTTTAAATGCCGGCCAAAGTCACACAAATAATGATTGACAGGTCTGGGGGTAGTTTTCTGAGCTCTTGTATATCAAAAGAAAGAAGCCTGAGTTCATAATAATAACCCAAACTTTAGGAAGGTTTGTGCAATCAATAACAATGAAAGCTAATTGCAAAGTTTCACTTCAACTCTTTAAAAACAGTATGCTTTAACACATGAAGGATGTCATTGGTTTATTCAGATCTGGTCTTAATAAGCATGCATTGTAGGGATGTTTTACTAAAGCCATAAATCTGGGTAACAGAAAGGGTTTCCAACTTTCTTTTCTAATTGATTTACTTCTCCTTCCCCCAAGACCGCCTGAGGTCAAGCATATATAGTTTATTTAAGGGACTGTTTATAGACTCTTAAACTATAAAGGACCCCAGAACCTCTCTTTCTTCTGGTTGTTCTTAATTGAAACCATTCAAGGTGGTTGGTTGCCTGTCAACTTCTTAAATACCTCAAAGGGGAAAAATTCCAGAAGTCCCCAAACAGCATCTTAAAATGGTTATAGTCACCATAGTTGTCAAAAGTTATACCTGTGGCAAGCTTAACTTTTCCCACTTTGTTTTACCCGTGCGGTGTGCTTCAGACAAAACAAAGTTATAGTGGGACCTCTTCTGTGTGTGTTCCAGCACATGGGTGAGTTAATACAGAGCTCTTGCCTAGTGAGCTTTCGCTTCCACAATGGCACCCCACTCCTCACAGGACCAAGACAGCATAAGCCTGATTGACACGCTCTGTCTATGGTACATGGGGAAGAATCTGTAATTAGCTCTTCCTTGGGTTCTTCATTTTGTAAACTGTCTGAGGAAGCTGCATTAATTTTGGATCAACTGTTCTACTTCTGCTGGAAGATATTCACACACCATCATCCAGAAGGTTGTGTCTGCTGCGCTCCCACAGAACTTGGGCTAGAGAGGAATACACACTCATTTGCAAAATTGGGTCAGTCTACACAAAGCAAGAATTACCAAACAAACAAACAAACAAATGAAAAACTTACTTACAACAATTCTTACAGGATTCAAAACCCCTCCTTGTTAAATATTTTGTATTATACAAAAAATAAAGATGGAGGCAAATTTCTTTCAGATGTTTAGATATCAACCCCAGATCAGACACTTCCTTCCACTATTAAGAGAAATATATACTTCCAAAGTAGAGTTGAAAAAGGTTAAAATAAAATGGTATGGGCACAAAAAGCAAACTTTGGAAATAAGAGGAAAACTTAGTAAGTGTCTTGGAAGGACAGCCATGTGGAGAGTGCTTCCCTTTAAAAGGTGCTTTGATGACTGTAAATGCTTAGGGCTGACTTTGCCACACACAGTAAATCTCAGGGGATGGAAAGGAAACTCAATAAAATTTGTTGACAACAGTTACTGCCTCTAAGAATAATTGGCTCAGGAACAAGGCAGACCATCAGTGTAGCTTGGGGATGGCCAAAATACAGCTTCTAAGTTCTTGTTGGAATACATACATTGCATTCAGTGGGGGCAAAGTGAAACAGTTTCATCAAATAACTGGATAGGCATGAGTTGAGAAGCCTGTCCCCAAATATTTGGCAGTCATAATTCGTCGTGGTCCTTACTATGAGGGTTCCACAGAAGCAGTTCTATTATGTTTACTTGGATTCAGTCATGCCAGTTTAAATTTATAAATACCAGCAACTACTGTATCAGTCAGACATTGAACTTGACCCCATCTTCAAAAATAAATAGCTATGGCTATTTGAGGGGTTCACTCAGAGGGCAGAGCTTCATGAAGACATGCAATACATGAGATGGGTATTTAGGGAAAGACTTAAGAATATACACTTTTCTCCCATGGTTTTTTTCTCCTACAGCATATGATATGCACACTTTTCCCCTAACCTCTGTCTAGACTCTTGCTCTAAATGCAAGGTCAGTCAGTCTCTCATTCATCTCTGGGCATTTTGGTTGTACCTTCTGCTACTGCCTGGCAGATGCTCCCCCAGTGCTCCGAAGTAAACTAAACCAATTGAAAAGAACCAGCTTTTCTCAAGTAGAAGGGTTGTGGTACTGAACACAAAGCTATCAAGAATACCTTTGTGCTTAAGGAACAGAGGCAGGCAGGGGATTTAGCTTAGATCATAAGGCAGAATATGATTTTAAAAAAGAATGAAATACTCTTAATGACAGAATTGGCTATAGCACATGTTTCACAAAGCCATTATTTTGTCCAGAATTCTTTTATGATATTTTGTCACTTGTCTTATTTTATTTTGCCAAAATCATGGTAAATACACATTACCAGTCTCCTGCTTTAAATATCAAGTGGCTATATGGATTCTTTTCATTTTGAGTTATTAAGTATAAGTTAAACACATTTACTAAAATTTGATCTTTGTAGTGATCAGATGCAAAAACCTTTTTAGTGCATTAAAATTGGTTTCCATTGTCAGGGTTCATTGCTCAAGTGTCTGTGTGAACATATAAAAATATTGGCCAGTTACCTAGTGTTGATTCATTATTTCTTGTCTTAGTTTTCATTATCTACTGCAAACATCACAGGCATGGAAGAATCCAGTAGTCGTGGACCATACATGGAAATCCTGGAGGACATCATGACGAGTTTTACAGTTCCACCTGGCACTAAAGAGTGGGCACGTGGAGGCTTGGGAATGATCAGTGAACCAGATGAAAGGAACTTGCACAAGTGGGTTACCAAGGCAAGACCAAGTCCTTGGGAACCAGAGGTGAGAACCGCTCATGCTTTCCAATGTGAAAAGGTGGATCAGTGGTAGCAAATTATAGAATGATCACAACACATTATTTGTCATGTTGACAACTCATGGTCACCTCCTCTAGAACATTTTTAAAGATGAAGCAAGTCTGGTATTAAAAAAAAAATCACCCACCCAATAAATTTACCCTGCAACAGAGAACTAGATGAAACTATTTCATTGCCAGAATTTTAAGTGAATGTATTAAAATAAAGGACTGACAGGAAGAACAAAGTGGACATTTTTCCCATTCCAACAGCTAAAAGCATGTTTGACTCTTTGATGATATTCTGTCACTTGTCTTTTTTATTTTATTTTGCTAAAACCATGGTAAATGAGCATTACCAGTCTCCTTAGTACTTCCCTCACCCATCTCCAGACTTGTATGCATAAACTTTTGCCTCATTCTTATACACACACACACACACACCCACCACCACCCACCACCACCACCACCACCACCCGCCACCACCATTACCACCTGCCTCAAAAGAGACTTTTAGAATGTGAATCATACAAGAGCTATGCAAAGCTTGGTGGGTCACTGAGGTAATCTGTTTGCACGTGAGTGATAGGAACCCTGAGGAATGATTCATGCCCCAGTTTCTTGGAACTCTTTAAACTTCCAAAGAAATGTACAGAGTACACATCTGTCTCTCGGTTTTCCACTGCATTATAATGTGCTGCGAGATGGAGGTGTGTGGGGTGGATTGTTTTCAAGTGATCCCTTGCCTTGGTAGTCATTGACTTGGTGTGTGTTATTTACAGACATGGACTCCTTTGTCTCTTTTTCACGGACTGTTGACTTTCTTATTGTCTGAGACCTATTGATAAGATATGCGATGCTGAATTTCTCAAAGAGTCCTCTCCAGGTGGATATGACACCCAGGGAAGAACCACATCAAAGGGAAGTAGTGACAAAATATCAAGGTCAATTTCCAAGGAGAGCATTTTGCTATGCCACTCCAGTGTGCAGTTAGAAGAAGCCTCTAGATTTACAAACATGTCTTGGCAAAGATCACCTTTTGTCCACTCCCGGTGACTTTGTATCACATGGAGACATCTAATTTGCTCTCCATTTAATTTATTTCTCAAGTTCACATGAATTTGGGGGTGGGGGAATCCTTATCATTTTATTATAGATCACAGAACACTCAAAGTAATCCTGCATGTCTTCCAGATGTTTATATATGCTCCCAAAGGTCTAAGAACAAAACCTCCTGTCCTCCAGGGCTGTTCTGTCCTATTCTTCATTAGCAAGGATAGGAGAATGGGGGTAGACCATGAGCTGGAGAAACGCCCATGAGGAAGCAGTTAAAGCCAAACTCTTAAGGAAGAAAATTCCACCCTAAATCTCCCAAACCCGCCAAAGCCCAGCTGCAATGCTATGCATACGTTGAGGGGAGGAATCCTGGGCTGAGGCTGGCTATCAGCCATGGCCAGTCATTCAGTTATTCACACAGTCCCTGGAGGTGTAAATCCACAACCCCGTATACTGTAGAACTGTTGTAGTAGCCCAGAGAAGGGTGGTGGGAGTGGGTGCGGGAGAGTTACTCACTGAAGTAAAAGCCCCTCGGTCCACACACGAATTGAAGAGCGTCCACCAGCTCAGCTCCGCAGAGGGTCTCTGGTGCCGCTGTGGTAGAGCTGGTGAAGGTGAGCAAGCAGAGTGCCAGGTAGAAGAGATGTGAAGACGGCATGATGTGTACCTTTATCTGCCGGAGGGGAAAAAAGGAGGATCAGGTATCCTTCTGGGTCCAGAAAGGGTGGGACAGGGATGCACAGACTCAGGATTTCCTTGTCATCACTCATCAAAATTCTCTGGCCTAGAAGAGCAATGTGGCATGAAGGGCCCCTGCGGGTCCTGGCCTGAGCCAGTCTTGACATCAAACAACCTATGTTTAGTCCCTTTGATCTCCAGAAGTTTTTATGAGTTCCTATTACAAATAAATGGGGTAAAAGGGCCACAAACATTTACTGGGTGACAAAGGATGGCAGTTATTTCAGTGGGGGATTCCCATGCAATTCTGAGAGCCTGATAAAACATCTCAATTACCAAAAGTTCAGTTTTCTCAGCTTTGTGCTCACACTGTTTTTATCTAAATGCTCTAAAACATGGCTCTCTGCAAATCACATATATTCATTATATTTATATTGATCAAAATACTAAATTAACTGGGGCATCATTTTCTGCCAATAGATTATTAAGATACTACAGTGGCCAGAAAGGTATTGTGAAAATACATCATTACAGCTTTTCAGAGGGCGAGGGGTGTGAGGGAGGGAGAGAGAACAAGAATCAGGGAAGAGGACGAGGTGGCTCACCTGAGAACATCAGCAGTTAACCCTGCCACAAGTGGGAAGCAAACAAGCAATTCAGAGAGAGGAAGAACATGAAGACTTAGGAATGAAATTGTCTCTCGCACAGCACAGTGACAGAAAGATCCGATGCTTTTCCTTAAACACCATGAAGGTCATAGTCTGGACCTCTATAGTAAATGCAGGATGACAGGAGAAAGTCACGATGCCTTTATTTGTTAACTAAAGGTTTAGGGGAGGAGAGAGCCTTCAAGAAAAAGACTCCAAAATGAGGGGAAACCTTTTGTTTGTTGCTGCTGCTGTTCTGCTTTGGTTTAATGGAGCATGAGCAGTTACGGTTTTAATGACATCAGGCTGAGGTGGGAAACCCGGCACGTCTTGCCTCTACTGATTATTCTCTGCCCCTCTGGGAGACATTTCTAAGTCCTGGGTGCTGGATTCAGGGCCTCTCTGGAAGAAGGGGCCAATGACCTACCCCCAGACAAGGCAGGCAACAGATTCTGCTCTGGCCGGCTCCTCTCCAGAAAGCCTGGGGAGGTTTAGAAGCAAATGTCCATGTTTTATGGCTGCCTGGGGAAGAGGGTCTCTAGTTTCTGTGCCTGCCTGGGAGAGAGTGACAAGTGGGAAAGGAGAGGATGGAGGAAGGTCAGGGGGATGGAAATCATTTTCTGAGCTTTAACAGGAAATAAGAATAGTGCCTACATTCTGAAGTCCCTCTCAATTCCACCATCAGAAAGGTCCATACAGACAGTGATTTTCTATGTGCAGAGCACTGGACCTAAATCATGCAGGAGGCTTTTCTTGAGCAACAGGAATTCTGACTTAATCTCCGGGAGGCATTTATGTATCATTCTATCACTTTTATAACAAAATCTATCAAGGGACCTCTGGTTGGCACAAGTTAGTCAATGGCTGATAGCCAAATGGCATCCCTGCCAAAGTCAGGGTTCCTGTGACTCAAGTCTCTCTTCATTCTAAGAAGCAGACACATCGCTTCTCGGCCTTTTGGCTAAGATCAAGTGTAGAAGCAGACACATAGGAAGACAGACAAATAGTTTTCCATATTGCTGCTTGTGGAACCAGCATGGACTTCCTTCTAGGAAGGCTCCCAAGGTGAACAGCTTCACCTCTTTCATATATATATGCTTTCAGCAGCATGGGAAGAGTCACCAACATGTTATTAGGTAGCCTACTCTATGAAAGCGGTCATGGAAATACACTGGAAGCTACATATTTTAAAAGAGCTCTTTTTGAATCTCACGGTTGAGGAAAGTTCATTCAACCCCACCTGGTTTGGAGAATGAGACCTAGACATTTTGTTGATGACCACTTTCCCTGTCCTGGGTGAATTCTCAACTTAATGGTTCTGCATCCCTGGCAAATTTTGCTCCATTATTTTAAACAAATTTCCAATTTTGTGGCTAGATCTTCAGCTTAGCATTTGGAGGGGGCAAGGAACCCAAGTCCCTGATTCCTGATAGCACCAGATAAATATTTAATAAGTGCTGTAAAGCATCTGTAAAGGAAAGGAACACCCTCTGCTTACAGATCATCATGAAAGAGGGCATGCAGCTATAGAGGACGTATGACCTCAGTTAAGCCCTTGGTACATTTCCTCAGTAGGACTTCGGCATGGAAGCTCTCCATCTCTACACAACCAAAGGCACAGGATTTCCTAGAAATTAGCTAATATCCACCCACTTCTCTTAGTTGTAAAAAGAATGAAGGGGAGTTTCCCCTTGAGCATTTCTCATGGAAACCTGACCAGATCCGCCCCAACAGGGCTCCATGGCTCTTTGTGAAAGGGCAGCCCTGTAATCCCCATAATTGGTCTTAGAACACATCCCTACACGCTGGCAGCAGGTCAGCTCTAGAATGAATAATACTCCAGCAGACCCATTTCTGAAACACCGCCCCCTATCCCTGCTGAGTTTCAGATAGTGCCGAAGGCCAGCCACCTGCAATGGTTAGTTTGGACCAACTCCACAGGAACTATTACTCAGTCTCACAGCCTTCGTACGCTCAGACTGTCATGAGCTGTCACGAACTACATTTTAATAGATATTTCAAGTCCAGCAAGACATATACATCTCTAGAGTTTAAAAACTGAAAATTGCTTTAACCAATTTTTCCTTTCTTTTCTGCATGGAATTATACTGAAAACACTGTCTGATAAATACCAGTACTTACAATTCTAGGACCTCTGGTACATTTTCCTTTAGCTCAGACACTAGTCCAGCACACCCACAGAGAGTCAGAGTTTATCACATCATGTTCCCCAAACAGAAAACAATAACGAACTTGCTTAGGAGCTAAGAAAAGTTCTAAATAAGTCTTCCCATATGTTCTCCATTATTTCCTCGGCCCCTTATTTCGTCAACCACAAGGAAAAGGAATAGAGAGGGGTCAGGGGTGTGATAGGAAGAGGTCAAGGAAGAGCCTGCGAAAGACAGGGCAAAAAAAACCCAATCCCTAACCTGGAACACTTTCCTCAAAGACCATCCACAAATCCACGTTTCCAAAGCCCTTCCCGTGTTAAACAAGTGGGATATCAATTGATTCCAGATGTCTGGATGACAGCGAAAATGCCCAGCAGAAGGGTGAGGGCAATAGACACGAGAAGGTACTCACTGGAGGTGCAGTCATTTTGGTATGTCCCAGGTCTTTTTCACAGCAGGTCAGGGTGGGTATTATGAGGCTGATGTGAATAGAAAACTCAGGACTTAAAAACATGTGCTGTTTTGTGGGTGGGGTTTATGAAAGCATCTAGTTACATTTGGACACCCAGGCAGGTATGCTATGAGCCTGGGTAAACTGCCTTTTGTCCATTCAAACCATGAGCAAGCTGCACAGCTGGGAGTCGAGTCACCCCCCCACTCCCCCCTGTACCCCCGCCCCCCCCCCCGCGCGCTCCCCCCACCCCTTGCCCTCCCTCCCTCCTAGTGAAGCCACTGATTTCCATTGTATGGCTATCTATCTCAGCTACCCAGAATAGTGATCCAAGTTCCAGCTCCTTGCCTTCCTCCCCCACCTTCCCCTGGCTCCAGCACTGGGAAATACCTCGAGACTCAAGAGTACAAAGCCAGCCTGTGCCCTGTGTGCACTGCTCGAGGCAGTTGACCTGTGCTCATTGAATTACATTTCAAAGACCGCCACACAGCAGCTCCCTCCAACCATCTCCTGCTGCAAGCACAGGAAAAAAGTTGAAGCATATTGCTAGCACCACTTCTGAAATGTTCTGCAGCCCCAGCATGGAAAGAAAGTTCATTTGGAGAGGATTTTCCAAACTTGCAGTGAATGCCGAGGTAACATTCCACGGTTTCTTGGACGAGCCTTTTAAATAGGGAGACGCAATCCCAGCTGCCAGACCACACAGCGTATATGAACGCTGACTTCATTCCTGTAAGGTGGCTGGAGCCTGTTGGCATCTCAAGGATGCCAGAATTAAGTGCTTGACAAGGTTGTCTCCCTAACTCCCAAGCCACTTACTTGCCTAAGAAAAGTCCTAGCGACGGCGTTTGAAAGCAGCAGAGAGACGCTGCACTCTGTGGCTGGGATCTTTTATGAATTAAGCCCTCCGGCAACTGCCTCCAAGGAGCCAGCGGCAGCGGCTTAAAAGTGCTTGCAAATTGAAAAAACACAAGTCTGGAAGGATATAATTTTGCTGAGAGTGGAAACTTGAACTAGACCCAGTGATCGGAAAGGAGAAGTCAGTGCGTTGACAGCGGCAGCCGCAGCCAGATTCACCTAAAGAGACTTTACTGCACTCCGAGCAAGAGACGAGGCTTGCAGCTCCAAATCCAAGCCCAGACTCGGTCCACGAAAGTCCCCTTCCAAAGAGAAAAGTTGGACAGGCAGCCGCCAGAACGCGCCTGCTTTCCGAGCACAGCGTGGATCTGTTTAAATTTTCTGAATATGCAAAGACAGCAAGTTGTCTAAGCGCTCTTTCTCAGAAAAGCAAATTAAACTTCACTTTAACTTTGACTTTCTGGGCACAAGTGCCGAGAATTCCCGATTCTTGGCTCCAAAAAAAGCATATTTAAAAAGCTTTCCTACCGTCTAAAATGTAACTTTTAATCTATGACATGCCTCGTACATAAAGTCCTGACGAATTACACACACACACACACACATAGAGACAGACACACAGGAACATGGTCTTAAAAAGCAAACGCCTGCACCTGTGAAAGAAAGAGCAAACCCAAGTTCACATGCATGCTTTCGAGCCCCGAGCCATAGGCAAGATTTAAAGGAACCTCTTTAAAACGGCAGCGCGGCAGCCCTGTGGAAGTGGAGGGTTTAGCGTGAGTACCTTGCAATAGTTTCTACCCGTACAGATATCTCTGCAATTGCATTCATCTCCCGGAGCTCTTTTCACAGCTCGCACAGAACTGCACATTCAGCAATTTGTAAATAACTCCCAGTTCTGAAACAATGCAAATTCTAAAGCGAATAACAATTCCAGGCAGAAGAAAACAGCGCACAGCTTAAATACAATGCCCCAAGAGTTCAAAGAATAAGAGATATTTACCTTCAAGAAATCACAGAAGCAGCACTTGAATAATTGAGTTGGAAGACTGCTGATTTTTCCCATTGCTTCTGAAGTACAAAGTCTGAAAATGAATTGGTGAGCAGGAATAATGAGGCAAAAAGAAATCCAGAGAGATGGGAGATGTTAGAGGAGCAATGTCACACTTCAATTTTGAGGACTTTATTCCATTGCGCAGGCTCTATCTGCTCCGAATTTAGCAGTGACAGTGAGATTTAGCAAACAGAAGAGGGATTTAGAGAAAATCCTCACATTTATCTACAAAACACAGACACTGTAGACAGGAAACAGCTGGGGGAGCTTTCGCCTCCTCTCTCTCCCTCTTCTGGCAAAGTTATCGAGTAAGGACTTTTTTGGGCACGGTGACAAATAACATCATACCTTTGCTTTTAAAAACTGGAGCACAGAAGCATTTTTTTTTTCCCTTAAAAGAATGTGTGTTACTGACAGGGTTAGCAGACATTAAATACTGATGCTGCCATAGAAAATAGGGTCTGTTCTCTGATTAACTTTCCACAGGGCAGGAAGGTACACATGCCTGCTAATACACCTTACCAGGATTAAGGGATCTAAGTGGGACGGGGGGCAATTTTATATTTTAGGGCAAATACAAAATTTGAAAAAGAAGAAAAAGGGAAGAGAAGATCATCTCCAGAAAGTCTAACGATGTTAACCCTGAAATGACCAGGCTAAACTAGTTTGAAGCCAGCGCTCCGGTGACCCCTTGTCCTAGTTGCTAAGCGAGGGGAATGATCTCATTTCCTAAAACCTATAGACAGGCAGGCGGCGGCAGTGGGCTGGCTCCCATTAGGACACTGTATCATGCTTTGTGCAGAGAAAAAGACGATGCTGAGCTCTGGGACCAACTGAAAAATAAAAAGATCTTATTTTTCAGCAAAGCTGTCACCTCTGTAACCCCAAGGAAACAGTATATGAGGGACACACTGGTTCCCTGTTGGCCATATTTTTCTGCATAACTCTGTGTGTGTGTGTGTGTGTGTGTGTGTGTGTGTGTGTGTGTGTGTGTGTGTATGTGTGTGTGTGGTAACTGTGTTTTCTTTCTCCATTTTTTTTTTTTTGTGTGTGTATTCCAAATAATACCAGCTGGCTAGCAATACCCTCTCTAGGGTTATGATGTCATTCAAATCTCTCAACTGGGTAAGTGGCTGGCAGCATGCTTCCAGCCAGCTGCTTCGCTATTTATAATGTATACTTGCCTTTGCCGTAGAGAATCAAGTTCTGATCTTTTGTTGACATGGTTTGTACCTATTTCTCAGTGGGTTTGAGAGGGAATAGATAAGAAGGTGAATTATGAAAGAGGATTACAAAAGCCCAGACCAGACATTGTGCTTCCCGTGGATGTCTCTCTAGGTGTGGTTTCCCAGGCGAGATGGAAATGAGCCTGACTTTCTTCCTGGCTCTCTCATGACTCTCGGGGGTGGGGGGGGGGGTATGAAGACACTGACACATCAGTGGAGACAGAGGTCAGCTGGAAACTATACACTGCCTCGTTATACTGCCCGGGGCTGGAAATCTGCTCGGAGAGGTGGATGTCCTCAAATGAAACCAGTGTGGTTTTGCAAGGGGTTTGGACTTGTTCCAATCCTCTGTGTGGTCAATACTTGATGGCAATGTTTACCTTTCAGACACAGACACTGGAAACCCGGAGTTAGGCTGTTCCAGTGGTGGGTGATGTTAGGTGTCATTTGATGAGAGTACCTACTGTGTGCTCAGTGACACACACCTCTAGAGAAGCAAAACAGGAGCAGGAAACGGGCAGAAAGAGAGGCACCCCCCTGCCATGTTTTGAGCAGTGCAGAGTGGGAGGGGCAGCAATTTTTCAGGGAGGTGGGGGTGAAAACCCATTTGGGAAATCAAGAATGGGGGAGGAGAGAATGCAGGGTGAGAGGCCCGGGGCTGGTAGGCTTGACTCCGAGAACCTAGAAAACTGCAGCATCCCCAGGTGGTCCCGCATGTCTGTGGTTGTGTGGGCAATCCTGCACACAGAGGAACCCAAGGAATCCTCTAGCAAGGCCTCCTGGGGCACTTGATTTACGACAACTTATGTAGCTCTTTTTCTTTTTCATAAAAAATGTCCATCCTCCTCTTAGGGACCTTGACGATGGGCATAATACGGAACCAAAGACCTGTTAAGAGTTTCTTAGTCTCTCAGGCAGGAGGATCGGGTCCAGGCCGGAGTCTTTGCTCTACCACTGGGTGCCTTTTTGGGCCAGCCAGCACTGCCCAAACCTCTCCCCAGCGCAACGGCAGCGTGCTTTAATGGTCTCCATACATTCTAGAAGCTCGCTACATTCCTCCGAGTTGGTGACTCTGGTTCCGATGCTTTCTGGGCACTGGGCTGTGTGCCCTGCTGAGCCGCACTGTGTCGCGCAGTGATGCTGTGCTGTGCAGAGGAGACCACCTTATTCGCTTCCTCTGAAAGGCTGTTTTGAGGACAGAACACACACCATCCCATCAGACACTGCACTCGGGCACTGTCAACAACACAGGGACTCACTGGGTTTTATAACCCCAATTACCCTTAAAGGATAATTGAGTTTTAATTTATGTCCCAGTTTATGGCACAATCAAAGAAAACTGAATTTCAGTGCAGCGTAATTGTCATCAGCTGCGCCGTGGAAACATTCTGATGTGAACTATCAGTTTCCTATGGAGGCGGGGGGCGGGGGGGGGGGGAGCAATTTCCTGAAGTGATTCACATATATTTCAAACTGGGAAATCGTCCCTGTTAGCAGAGAGGGTGAGCTAGCAACAGAGCAGGGGGCGATAATTCCTGGAGAAATGTCCATCTTCTTTGTAAACTCCAGGAGTCAATTCCAAGATGAAAGGGGCCTTTACTGATGGGGTGCGGGACCTGCGTAGAATGGAGAGCAAGGGGCGAATCTAACGCTGAAGCTCCAGGTGGTGTAAACTGAGTACCAGGGAGGGGTCGGGCCAGGAGATCCCCCTGGAGAGGCTCTCCGTGGTCATTCTGAAATTACTGAACGCTGGTTTTGTTACCCGTCTGGAGAAAGAATCTAGCAGATATGGGAACTGTGTGCCACAGAAATAGCTAGCCGCGAAGATGCGCTCATCATGAGAACAGCCGCTCTGGAGAGGCAGGCTCACAGTTTCACCTTTTGCATGTGTAATGCCTGTGAGTTATAAATAACCCTCCCCTCCAGCCGTCTACCTGAGCGGTCTATTTGCATAAAGCCGCAGCTCCAGAAAGCTTCTGACACCTTTCTTGAAAAATAAATAAAGTGAACTTGTTCATTCTCAGAAAGTGAAGGTTGCCTGAGAGCCGCCGAAAATGGGGCGATACCTGGTCCTGCCCCCACCCCCGTCCCCTCTCTTTGCTTGAGTCATATCCCATTTTCTCTGTGTTCCTCAGAGAGGGGTCACCTTCAAAGGTCACACTGCATCTTTGCACAGTTGGACATATAAACAATTGCTGTCTTTACTGCTGTTGCTGACATTAATGTCAGTGTATGTGTGCATGTGTGCATATGTGTATATGTATGTGTGTCTGTCTGTATGTGTGTATATGTGTTTGTATGTGTGTATGTGTGTATATGTATATATATGTGTATGTGTGTATATGTGTGTGTGTCTGTGTGTATGTGTATATGTGTTTGTATGTGTGTATGTGTATGTATGTGTATATGTATGTATGTGTGTATATGTGTGTGTCTGTGTGTGTATATATGTGTGTGTATGTGTGTCTGTGTGTGTATATATGTGTTTGTATGTGTGTATGTGTGTATGTCTGTGTATGTGTGTATATGTGTGTGTGTCTGTGTGTATGTGTATATGTGTGTATGTGTGTATATGTGTGTGTCTGTGTGTGTATATGTGTTTGTATGTGTGTATATGTGTGTATGTGTATATATGTGTATGTGTGTATATGTGTGTGTGTCTGTGTGTATGTGTATATGTGTGTGTATATGTGTGTGTCTGTGTGTGTATATATGTGTTTGTATGTGTGTATGTGTGTATATGTGTGTGTATCTGTGT